GTCCCTGTCTCTTCTCCCGTCACCTGGACTCTGCCTTATCAGTCCGGCCCTCTCCTGTATTTCCACTTCTCCTTTCTCTGTTGTCTTCCGCCTTCACTGCCTGTGAACAGTACAACATGGCTAAGACGCTCATCGTTAAAAATTTAAAATTCCTGCCCATAGCTCTGGATCGTCCTCCAGCCACTGTCCTATTTCCCCCCATGTTGTTCTTAGTGAAGCTCCTGAAGGGTCCCTCTGCCATTCTCCTGAGCTGATGTGACAGAAGTCATCAGTGTCCTTCCCTTCAGTCCATTCACCAGGCTGCCTTTGATGCTCAGCTTCGAACTCAGGAGGCTAATGAGAACCTCACCTTGCCCTGGTCAAGAGATGAGTGAGCAGAGCTGGAACTACGGCAGCAAGAGCGTGAGACCTTCCTTCCAGCTCCATACCTCAGTCGCTCCTGCCCACCCGTCCTCCCCTTGCTGTCCACTGCAAGAACCTCCCAACTGGTTTTGCTCCTCTTTGGTGAGTGGCAGAGTCCACTCTACTGCCAGCCAGGAGGAGCATGGAGATGAGACCCACCTTCCTGTGTGGTTGGTAAGGGAGATGCCCCCTGTGCGCCTCTGTGGACTTTCTCCATGACCGGATGTCTTAATCACCTAGTTTACATTGCTTCTTTAATGCCACAGCCATCTCCCCTTGGAGAATGCGGTGGAGGAAAGATGCCCAACATCTCCACACACACTCAGCTTGCGGCCGCCTTGGGGCTGAGGCCAGAGTCTCGGAGCATGCCCCGTAGGGACTCTGCTGGCTGCGTGCCCTCCATCTTCTCCCCCTCTCCTTTACTAAGTCTTCGTTTACTCAGGCTCCCTGGAGATGGTCCATCCTCTTTTCCCATCAGATCCTCTGCAGCCTGCAGTGAGAAGACCACTTCCTCCTCTGCACCGCCATCCTCCATCCTGTGTGATTTCGGTGACTTGTGTCTCAGTTTCCCCATTCCTAGCACAGACCTGGCATTAACAGTGGCCTGAGTACGGTGGTCAGAGACAAGAGTATGCAGGGGAGGAGGGAAGATGATACCAAAGCCTCACATGTTTTGAGCTCTTACAATATGCCAGCCATTGTGTTAAATGTGTGACAGTTTTTAGTCCCTAACAAAGCTCAGCGAGTTGTAGATACATAGGGATAATCATCTCCATGTTGTGGCAAGGAAATGCAGAGTTTAAACAACTTATCTGCTGTGTTAAGAGTTTGGTTTTAGCCAGGCTTGGTGGCTGTGATCCCAGCATTCTGGGAGGCCTAGGTGGGTGGATGGATCCCTTGAGCTCAGGAGTTCGAGACCAGCCTGAGCAAGATTGAGACCCAGTCTCTACTAAAAATAGAAAAAATTAGCTGGGCATTATGGTAGGGGCCTGTATTCCCAGCTACTTGAGAGGCTGAGGCAAGAGGATCATTTGAGCCCAAGAGTTTGAGGTTGCTGTGAGCTGTGACACCATAGCACTCTACTAAGGGTGACACAGTGAGACTCTTGTCTCAAAAAAAAAAAAAAAACTAATTTGGTATAATTTTTTTGGCCTTTTGATTCCAAAGTAAACAGCTAAATATTAGAAGGTTTAAGGAAAAATTATAAGATTTTCATTTATTTAAAAAGAAAGACAAACCTCCTTCCCCTTAAACTTGAGGATTGTATTTTTTTTCCATAATTTAACCCCTGTAGACCCAACTTCTTTGTTCCTTCTTGTTGGTCTGTTTACTGTGTGTCTGTCCCTGCAACGAGCCATGTTAAATGCTAGGACCAAATAAGGTGAGAATCAATCTGAGGCCCTCGGCAGGCAGCCCTGGGCTCCGTCACTTGCGTACAGAGTGGACCAATCTGAGGCCCCTGGCAGGAGCCCTGTGCTCCGTCACTTGTATGCAGAGTGGACCAGAGCCCTGTGCTCCGTCACTTGTGTGCAGAGTGGACCGGAGCCCTGTGCTCCGTCATTTGTGTGCAGAGTGGACTGATCTGAGGCCCTCGGCAGGTGCCCTGTGCTCCGTCACTTGTGTGCAGAGTGGACCAATCTGAGGCCCTCGGCAGGCGCCCTGTGCTCCGTCACTTGTGTACAGAGTGGACCGATCTGAGGCCCTCAGAAGGAGCCCTGTGCTCTGTCACTTGTGTGCAGAGTGGACCGATCTGAGGCCCTC